CAGTGGACTTACAGAATTCGTATCCATACTACAGCAAGGAATTTTGAAAGTTTATTATTAACGCCGCAAAGAATTGAAAAACTGTTGGCTGCTGTAAGAAAAATAAAACACAATTTTTTCAATTAGATTTGCAATATTTGAGCGGTAGTGCATCATAATTGAAAGGGATTTTGTGGTTTTAAAGTTTGAAATACATATTTCGCCATGTGTTTAATAAAACAAAATCTCGTATTTTTTTAAAGGACTCAGTACTGAAATGAGCTGCGTTCTCAATTCACTCTTCCACATTCTGTTTGCCGCATGCATACGTACATACGAAAAGTTGCGGATAAAGTGCGCTCTCAAATATTTTATCACATCCCAATTTGCCACAGGGCGAAGACGAACTCGAAACGACATCGTTACGACGTCGCCCTGGTGAAGTCGTTTGGGTGAACTCGAAACGACGTCGAAACGAAGTCGTTTTTTCCATACAAAATTCAACGTCGTTCCGACGTCGTTTTTTCTCATCGAATCGAAGTCGTTGCGACGTCCGTCTGGTGAAGTCGTTTGGGTAAACTCGAAACGAATCCGTTTCTTCGAACCTACAAGTTTTTTGAGGAACCTTCGGTCTAGGTTGGACAAGTTCCACGCCCAAATTTTAAAATATCTAAGCGTAAATAAAAGTCACTCATTTGGATAGTAAACCGTTTTTATTATGACAATTTTTTATCATGACAGAATATGGAATCCACAATGTACACTTGTGCTCAGAAAATTAAGCCACCTACATCTTTTGTTCAGGATTCATAATATTTTTTTCATATAAAATGTTTTTTTATAAAGGTAAAGTTCACTCTATTGGCCTTATTAATAAAAAATAAAATAATGGGAATAGGGTTTTTTTAATTTGGTAGAAAACTTTACTTTTACTTTACAGCGTGGCGACGAACAACTGTTACCCAGGTTTTTTTTGAGAAATAAAAGGATCCTTTAAAGATTTTGCTAACAAAGTATTTTGTTGTTAATTTTCCATGGATTTTACTTTAGTCGGATTAATTAGTGTTTGAATTGTAATCCTTATTTACATTTGCCAGCAGTGTAAACTTTGAGAGAAAAGTTCATTTGGCACGCAAGTCTTTTTCAGGTGACAGAAGAGACTCAAAATGGAGAAAATTAGCGGCATCTCATCACAACAGCGGCAATTAGAAGTACGCTTTAATTGTTGATGATAGAATACAAGGTTGAAGTGGCTCAAAACATGCACTTTCTGTCAGAAAAATTCATATGGATGAAAATGCGCTGTACCGCATTTAAGTATATTTAAAAAACTTTGAAAAAAATTCAATGAATTCAATTAAACTATTTTAAACTAAAACAAGTAAGAAAGTCTAAGTTCGGGTGGAGCCGAACATTAAATACCCGGCGCAAGTATTAAATATATGTTTTTTCACCTTTCCGAAACCAACCGCTAGATGGTAAGCCGGGGTGTATCGATTTTGAGTAAATTAGCGTCCTTAAATTTCGAAATATTGCAGTTTCAAGCATTTATGAAATTTACCGTTATATGAAAAGCGGCCGTAATTTTAGCCCAATTTCAATAATTTTCAACGTTTTGCTTTTATGTGGCAAGCACAACAAAAATACCGAGTTTGGTACAAATTGATAGAACGGTTACCGATATACATATATGTGGTCATAAGTGGGCGGTGCCACGCCCATTTTCCAAAATTTAACCATAAACGTATTTCTTGGTAAAGAATTGTTGCAAGCATCAATTTTGAATAACTTAGATTTTTTATTTCTCTAAATTACCGTTATATGGGATGTGGGCGTGGTTATTCTCCGATTTTTTAAATTTTCGGCCATTTGGTATGCTGTACCAAGGCCAACAATTGTGCCAAGTTTGGAAGAAATTGGTGCAGCGGTTACCAAGATATACACATGTAACAGTAAGTGGGCGTGGCTACGCCCATTTTCCAAAAATTTTTAATATTCTTATTTTTCGTCTGAAAATTATTGTAAGTATCAATTTTGAGTGAATTATCTTCAGTAGTCACTAAAATAGCGCAGTTTTCGTATTTCTGGAAATTACCGTTATATGGGAAGTGGGCGTGGTTACTGTCCGATTTCGCCCATTTTCAATACCAACCTACCTTGGATTAACTGAAACCTACATACCAAATTTTGTTGAGATATCTAAATTTTTGCTCGAGTTATCGTGTACACGGACGGACGGACAGACGGACAGACGGACGGACAGACAGACATGGCTTAATCGATTTCTCTATTCATTCTGAGCATTTATGTATACATTTGTCTATATCTATCTCGATTCGTTTTGGCTGTTACAAACAACCTTTATGTGAACAAAATTAATATACCCTTGTGCACAAGTGCGCTCGTGTATAAATATTGTTTTCCATTTTCTAGCAACTTTGAGCGACGGTCTGCAGCTCGCTGGTATATCGTTCTTGTGGGCTGCAGGGGAGTCGTTTTTGCGACCCGCCGGCGAGTCGTTTTTGCGGCCCGCCTGCGAAGTGTGCTTTTCATCCGACGGCGGGTCGCAAACGACTCGCCGGCGAACAAATTGTTCACCAAAACGAGTCGGAAACGACGTCATTACGACGTCGTTTGGCAAATTGGGATTAAACAAACAATCCTTTCTAACCGACTTCTAAAAAAGGAGGAGGTTACCAGTTCGTCGGAATATTTTTTACACCCCTATTCTGCAACTGTTTCGTTTTCGGATTTTGCTACGAATCGTGGAAATAGTATGCTGCAATCCGAATCGTATCTTCGAGCTTTCGAAATTCGTAACAATGGCATGCCTAAAAACGAACGAGTAAGCTTTTTGGCGTAATTTTGTACGAAAACAATTCTGTGTCGGAGGCGAAATAAAAGATGTAAATCGATGTGTGTTTGCAAGAAATATTGGTGGTGTTCATTTAAACAGATAAATTTGCCTTTCGCATATACGTATATTTTTATCGACTGCTTTATATAAGCGAGAAAATATAATATTTGTTGCCCCTTATCGAGACGCTTGGGTCCGGTTTAATTAATGTACAACGATTTTCCGTTGTTGTGTCCAAACGCATAACCCGTGCATGTTTTCAATGGCTTAGAAGAAGCTGTTATTGCATTAACTGGATTGAGAACCAGAGCTTCAGGCATAGAAGGAGTTATGGCTTAGAAGCTGACATAGATGCGCCTATGGTTACTATGCCCGACAGCTCCGCATACCTTTGTGAATCCATTGCCATAGCGCCCGCTTACCATGCTGCTATAATTGCAAATCCATCAGAATCCATAATTTTCCTCGAAATATGTAAAATTAATCAATTTTACAATAAACAAGCACATGATTATTTTTTTTTTTAATTCCTTTCCACTTTGTTTTCCTTCATTCAGCTATCTTCGAAAAACAACTGACAGCTGGCAACGCTGCGCATGTTTCCGCAAGGGTTGCAGCATGTAGATTTTTCGTTTTTCGTAGCGTAGCTACGAATTACGAATTACGAAAATTCGGGTTCTAGAATAAGGGGGTTATTTTTATTTTATTTTTTTTGTATGTTACCGCATAACTTTGGACCACGTCAACCGATTTCGATAATTCTTTTTGCATCGGAAAGGTAGTGTCTCAGAGGTGGTCCCATACTGATCTGGTTTAGATCCGATCATTGGATATATATATATTTTTTTTTTAAGTCGGTTTTTTTTGCTAAAAATTACTTGTAAATACAGTTAAACCCGCTTAAGTACCTCCCGAAAAATTTCAGCTTTTTGAGGTACTTAGTCGGGTTGGGTACTTAAATGAACTCGCTTACAGTTCATTTCCTAACTAATACCATATAAACCTACGCTTAAGATTTTGTAGAACAATTTAAAAAAAATTCCTGAAAATTTCACATTTTTTCTCAGAAGTGTTTTTTGAGTATACAGTATTCAATTTGATTGTAATAATGCACAAGCTTGAAGTAGCTAAATATTACGGTTGATTTTTTAGATTTTTTTACCGAAGGTGTGTAGCGTTGCCACTGAATTTCAAAATATGTAAATATTTTAAGGAATTTCAAAAGAGCCCTTAAAAGGGGAAAATTATAAGTAAAATGGTAAATGGGACAGGGAAAGTGTGGGTACTTAGGCGGGTTGGGTATATAAGCGGGAAGTACTTAAAAGAGGAATTTTTTTCAGATTACATTAAAAAAATCACGATGCCCAAAATTTTGGTTACTTAAGCGGGGGAGTACTTAAGCGGGTTTCACTGTAAATCCATGGGGTTCTCTGAAACGGATGTAACGATTTTGATGAAATTTTGTACACAGATAATGTTTTGCATTTTAAGGTTATCGGTAAATACCCATTCCGAGAAGACTCTATAAGTTTGCCACCTATTCGAAATTTGCTACAAATAATTATTATTAATAAATATTATAATTAATTAAATAAACATTATAATATGGTTATCAAATGGAAGGTGTTTTAAAAATACCTCATTCAAAAATATATTTAATATGGTTGCCACCTATTTTGAATCGCATATTTATTTAATTTTTTGTTTAGAAAGAAAGGTAAAATATTACTATTCATAGATACCAAGAGAAGGTTCTTAAACAATGCCTTCCCTATATACAAAGTGTTATCCCTTAGGATAATAGTGTAAGGTTGCCTACTTATTGTTTATTACAAACAATTTATCCTAAACCTCGCAATAAGGATACCAAATGAAAGGTATTGTTGAGAACTTTGGTACGAAAATATTTTCGGTCAGGGTTGCCACACTTCTATGTAATAAAAATTTTTATTTTGTTAATTTCAATCATATTTTTTTATATGTAAATTATATAGTAAGAAATTTATTTACTTAATAGATATCGGAATCAATTTTTTTTATTTATTTTCAAAATATTTTTTTTATGCTATCAAAATGATAGCCAAACCGTGGAAACTTTGAAAAAAGTATGCACTTCGAGCAAACCTCGGTCAAACTGGTACCGTAACATTAGATGCTTAAAAAGTAGCTATTTCAGGTATGTAAGTATATGCACTTCTCAAATGTCATATGAAATAATTTATTACAGATGAAAGTTACTAGCATTTTAAATCATG